TATTTAAACCCTGTGTTTCTCTGAGTCAGTGTCGCGTCGTCCCTCATGCTGTGTGGATCTCCCTGTGAGTTTAGTTTGGGAGTTTCCAGTTTAGTTTAGTTTGCTTTGTATGACTTTCTCCTGCCAGCAAATAAAGCTGAGCTCTTTGTGTTTAAACCTCGTGCCTGAGTGCCTGCATTTTGGGTCCAACTCCAGCCTGCCGCACAGCGATTCATGACAGACTCAGCCTCAATCTGACTGAATATGTCTGGACTATGCTTAAAAGTCCATACCAGGAAACCAGAGACGAGGTTGTATAATGTATGTAAAACTGTCCTAATTTTCCTCTTATTTACATCTAGCATAACTGATACTATATATTAATTATAATTACTATTGAATTAAGGCCTATATTAACCGCTATTTCAATTATTTCTGCTACCACCAACATTACCATACCAGCTTTATTTATCAAGCACTTTAACATAAAACCAGGGTTCACAAAGAGCTGTACATATACAAATAGCATAAACAAACAAATAAATACATAAATAAATAAATAAAATCAAACATGTTAAAATAAATTGAGTCAACCTCTTAAAAGAGTGCCAAAGGCTTCAGCAAATAAATATGTTTTAAGAAGCATTTTAAACTCAGAAAGAGAAGAGGCCTGCCTAACATGCAAGGGCAGATCATTCCACAACTTTGGAGAAGCTACAGCAAAAGCACGGTCACCTCTAAATTTATACTTAGCTTTTGGTACCTTAAGGAGCTGCTGATTGGTGGACCTAAGGGAGCCGGCAGGTGTATATGGCTGTAGTAGCTATGAGAGTTGGGGGCAGGGGGCATTTAGAGATTTAAAAACAAATAAAAGAACTTTAAAAAGGATCCTAAAATGTACAGGTAGCCAGTGGAGTGAAATTAAAATGGGGGGGTAATGTGCTCAGACTTTTTTGTTTCAGTTAAAAGACACGCTGCAGCATTTTGCACAACCTGCAGATGCCTAATCACTCATCACTAACCCCACAATAAAGTGCATTACAATAATCTATCCTAGATGTAACAAAGGCATGGATTACTGTCTCAAAAAGCTGCTTTATTAAGATGGGCTTTGTTTTGGCTAATTGCCCCAAAGGACAAAAGCTAGATCTTACACAGCTCTGATCTGGCTTTCAAGTTTAAGATCTGCCTCCATTTTAACTCCCGGATTAGTGATGATTGGTTTAACATACTGTGACAGGGAACCAAGATCCGTTTAGTGGTCTCAGAAGTGCCACAAAAAAACCATCACTACTGTTTTATGCTCAATAAAATGCAAAAAGTTCAAAGCCATCCAGGCCCTTATTTCATCAAGACATTTGAGCAAAGGGTCTACGGAGAAACCATCCTTTTTAGGAGGGAAATAAATCTGGGAGCCATCGGCATAACAGTGGAAAGAAATCCCATGTTTCCTGAAAATAGAGCCAAGTAGGAGATATAGGGAGAAAAGAAGGAGGCCTAAAACTGACCCCTGTGGTATCCCACATTGAAGAGAAGCAGCAGAGGATACAAACTCACCAAGTTTCAAAGAGAAAGTTTGCTTTGCCAAATAGGATCTGAACCACTGCAGTGCAGTACTCATAACCAGAGATGGGCAGTAACACGTTACTGTAATCCGATTACTTTTTTCAAGTAACGAGTAAAGTAAGGGATTACTATTGCAAAAACGGTAATTAGATTAC